TTTATGTACACTGAATTAATATCAGTACAAGTACCCACTGAACACTAAAAACAAACAGAACATAAACATAATATAATTATATATTATTGGGATTTCAACCCGGAAATATTCTATGTTTCTCAATATTGACATAGGACAGGTAAATAGAAATAATGACAGGGTATGAAAATTAAAAATGTAATTAGTCCGTCAGTTAGGTAATTAAAAAATATTAGACACGTGTTTTTTTACAGATAATAAAATGATACTTAGATAACACGAATCGAAGTTTAGGAGTGGGGATAAAATGTCATTTCTACGTATAAAATGTACATAGAAATGACGTCACGCGATATTTCAAATCAATATATCGAAGAAAGTATTCTTTCCTGTAAAAAAATAAAAAATACGTGTGTAATGTTTTAAAATAATCTACCAGACCGACATTAAAATAAGAATTAGTCATCTATCCTATTGTTATAAATAGGTCAGAACATAACCAAAAACGTTTTTATGCATAACTGTACAAAATACTTACAAATCTGTCTACCACTTTGTAATCAATAAACAAGTACGAGGTTGAACTGTTGACAAAAAAACGTACTTGAAGAGATCAACTAATCAGGAAGAAGCTAGAGGTCATGTAAGGTCATCGCTTTGTGTCTCCTTACCTTTATGTCAGACAGCCGTACTATTATGCCATACAATGATAGGTACAACAATACCTACATATAAGCTATGTATCACTACATAGTATAAAACAAAGTCACTATCTGCCGTCTGTCTGTCCCTATGTATGCTTAGATCTTTAAAACTACGCAACGGATTTTGATGCAGTTTTTTTAATAGGTTTATAACTTTATATGTATATAATACATGAATATTGAACCAGTGCGAAGCCGGGGCGGATGCTAGTATTGTATAAAGGTAACTCGATAGGAAAATCTTTGTCAGCCACATATTTAATAAGTAGTTTTCACAATAATTTAACATTCAAAGTATCATGCACTTTACGCAGAGAGGATCTACCATGTCTAACCTACATATACACTACACTAATAAAATAGTTAATGAAGTTGACAACGTGAAATTCCTGGGTGTAATCATTGACACAAATCTAAATTGGAAAGCACATACAGAATCCCTAATAAAAAAATAAGTAAATCTTGTTATGAAATTTTAAACTACTTCCAGTGCTCAATATTGACGCCCTCCTTACAGCATACCATGGTTTATTTTCATCCAATGTAAGATACGGCATTATATTTTGGGGAAATTGTACTAATAAAGAATTAAGTAGTATTCAAAGCCCAAAAGCGTTGCTTGAGAACCATGTTTATGCTAGAGGTCACGGAAAGCTGCAAGCATTTTTTCATAAAATATAAAATATTGACTGTACCTTCTCTTTATATTTTAGAAAGTGCATTTTTTATTAAGAGCAACCTAACCCTGTTTCCACGTCTAAGCGATACGGTTGTCCGTAATAGACGTGATAATAGCAAAATTAGATTAATTTATTCAACAACTAGCTTAATGAATAACAGTATATCAATATATCATGCAATCATGGGCCCAAAAATTTACAATAAAATTCCTAAGCTCTAGAAAGATTACAACACAAACATATTAAAAAAAAATTAAAGGATTTTCTTACCAATGAAGCCTATATATAGCATTAAGGATTTTCTACAGCACCACATAGACTACTAACTATCATTACACATTTTATTTTTCAATATTATTTGACATTTAATTTTAAAGACATATGAATTTTATTCACTCTTATTCTTAGCTTTTATTGACATATTAATTTTATTTATTGACATACACATTTCTAAAGACGGAATGGACATGATGCTTGGGCTTGTTGTGGCTGCGTGTATGACGGTCAATTATCATTAACTTAATTTGTTTGACATTGCTTGTGTGATATTCATAATTGATAATTACCTTCTTATATTATATATCTATTTGACATTACATTTTTGACTTAAATGGTATTAATCATTTTAATTTCTTTGACATTACTGTATTCAGTCTAACAACATAACAATTAATTAAACTCAATGGACCTAATTTTATCTATATATATAAAAGAAAGTCGTGTTAGTTACACCACTTATAACTCAAGAACGGCAGAATAGATTTGGCTGAAAATTGGTAGGGAGGTAGCTTAGAGCCAGGAGACCGACATAGGATTTTTTAGGACCGACTTTTTGACCAACATTTTTTTTTTTACTTTTTACTGAAAATCACGAACGGGGACGGGAAAAAATGGGAAGTCGCGGGCAGAAGCTACATAATAATTTTTTTATAACATATCTTTACATGCCAAGTGAAGGCTAAATATGGAGAAACTGTAAATTTTGTTAACGCCTATAATAATTAATAAAAATATTATGCACCCATGTTTGCAAGCGATTAAATGAATTTGAATTTTGAATTTGAAAGTAAAAAGTAAGACAGAAATATTTAGAAAATTGGGTAATTAGAGGTACAAGCATAACATCATAACATCCAGACTCAGTGCTATTCTTGAGATTAAAAAAAGCCCAATAATACTTTACCCGACCCGGGAATCGAACCTTATATTTATAAGCACCATTTTGAAAATGTTGGATTTTAAATTTTAACCATTTCCTTGAAATTTAATGTTGTAACTTTTTGACTATTCGTCGGTCGCGTAAAAAGCGACATTCATGGCAAGCAAGAGACTTTGCTAGTCTAGGGGATTCACATGTAGCACTGAGCGGTACATATTTATATTTATATTCAGCTATGATTTTTATATTGTTCGTGAACACTATCTCACCATCAGGTGAGCGATCATGCAGCCAATGATGAAGCATGCCTACCATTATGCTACCTTTTTGAAGAATTGCAATTGCTCTGTTGGTGCTGTGGCTGGACAGCCGACTGCCGCGCAACGTGTAGTGGGTTCGATCCGCACGGAGCAAGTCTTTTTGCAAATTGTTATTTCGGATCTGGGTGTCATGTGTAGGTATGTGAACTTGTAAATTTGTAAACACACCCACGACACAGGAGAACATCCTAGTGTGCGGCAACAGTTTAAAAAGAGTTAAGAACACCCAAGTTATAAGAATGTTCAGGAAAGATAGATTCTAGCAAAGATATCTGGTATCACTTTCACGTTATCCAGCTTCTGTGCCAACCTACTGAGACTGCATGTCTCAGTAGGTTCGAGTCCTGATACAAATGAATCAGTTTTTACTACTGATTCATTTGTATCATATTTTTTTTATTTATTTATTAAAGGCACATCAACAGTATATCTATTATTAATATACACTAGCCATAACACTGTTGAATACAAAATATTAAAAATATGACAGTACAAAACTCACGGGAACATAAACTCCATGTACAATAATATTAAGAAAGACAAAAAAATAATGAAATGACACAAAATTAAAATAACAATAACAATCTCAAACAATCCAACACAAGTTAAATTTTTATCACAATCTTATTAGTATTACGTAAATAAAAACATGTTAAAACATGTTAAGCCATGTTTAAACAACAACATGGTTCTGGTAAATGATGATTGTATATACCTTGCACACGTCTGCTTAACTCTAGGCGGAAAACAGTAATCGTGATAAAAATTATCTAGTGATACCATGCATCAAACCTGATAACATAATTTTAACACCATATTTTTTTTTTTTTTTAAGGGGGGAAAATCATCGAATGACTGCTCCCGCCTGGGTGAGGCGGAAGGGAGTGTCAGACTCTTACTGACTAAAAACCACCCCGTTCCTTCTCCTGCACGTCGAGCCGGAGCCCCAGTTACCCGTTAGGTTCTCCGCGACTCCGAATCGGCATCGGCCCTATTGGGCCCCATCTGTGGTGGTCTGATGGCTCTTTGAGGCGCGCGCGGAACGCGACGCGCCGTACGCTCGGGTCTGTTTCTGGTCGGACGGGGAGCCACCCATGCTCGCCGTCCGCAGGCCCGCGCTTACGGTGGCCGGAGATCGTCCCGCGATCCCCGACGCCCGGTGTGTCCTTCGCGATGGCTGGGTTGCGAGGAGGCAGCGCTTCGCTGCCTCACGCGTCCCGCCTCCTCCTTAGCCAGCATGACTGCTTCGCAAAAGGAGGAGACGGCATCCCAGTCCCCCTCGCTCCGCATCATGGCCTGCACTAGGCCCGGACGCGAGAGGTCTCCATCGCCGATCACTTCCCTGAGGGCACGGCGGTGCTCAGCCCATGCAGGGCATTCCGCAACAGTGTGTTTAACACCATATTAACATTATCATGACAATAGAAAAATCTCGTTAAACGATGTTGCTAACTCATAACAGATTGTCCAAAGCCATTACCCGCGGCTTTGCCCGCGTATATTCCTGTTTTGTTCCATGGGACCATTTAATCGGGATACAAGTATCCTGTCACCTAAATCAGCCCATACCCTGTATACCAAATTTCATCAAATTCCGTTCAGTAGTTTCAGCGTGATTGACTGACAAATATCCAGACAAAGAAAGTCCCACATTTATAATATTAGTGTGATTTTTTGTACTTTCCTATTACAGAAAGAGAAATAGATATATACATAGTCGCCCGCCACTTCGTTCGCGAAAAATATGAATTGTAGAAAATATTTTCTTTTTCAATTTTCCAAAATAACAATAGCCTAATTTACTCAGTACATAACTGGTTGGACCGATTTTGTAAGACTTTTATTGGCCGGTATAAAAGTCTTACATGATAAAAATAAAAAAAAAACAATCCAGCCGAACATAGTACCTCCTCCTTTTTTTGAAGTCGATAAAAATTATCGATATTCAAAACTTAATAGTTATAAATACCACACTATGTATGTACCTACACCGCCTAAACACCAAACTGACTTAGAATTCTTAAGATAACATACACGAGGAGTCGAACAAACTATCATAACGTGATCCTAATCAAGTTTTCGGTTTGTATATAAAATCATCGAGTTATTTACAAATCATTCATAAGTGTTCAGACCGAGTGTTTGGCCAGTCACAACCATGTCGGCATTATATTTCTTCGCAGCAGTCCCAGTGTTAGCTTACGCTATTTATTATTATTTTACGAGGACATTCAACTATTGGAAGAGTAGAAATGTTGCCGGACCAGAACCAACTGCATTTTTTGGAAACATCAAGGAATCAGTTGTTCGCACAAAAAATATTGGTATTGTTATGCATGACATCTACAATGCATTTCCAAATGAAAAAGTGGTCGGTATGTTCAGGATGACTTCACCTTGTCTCCTTATCCGAGACCTGGACATAGTCAAACATGTCATGATCAAAGACTTTGAAGCCTTTAGTGATCGTGGAGTGGAATTCAGCAAAGAAGGATTGGGACAAAACTTATTCCACGCTGATGGAGAAACATGGACAGCTTTGAGGAACAGATTCACACCCATTTTCACAACTGGTAAATTGAAGAACATGTTTTACTTGTTAAACGAAGGAGGCGATTCATTTATAGAGTACGTTAGTACAGAATGCCAAAAGAAACAGGAATTTGATATCCAGCCTCTCCTCCAGACATACACCGTGTCCACGATCTCTGCTTGTGCATTTGGTATTAGTTATGACAGTCTTGATGATAAATTGGAGACTCTGAAACTTGTCGACAAAGTATTTTCAGCTCCAAGTTATGCATTTGAGTTGGATATGATGTATCCAGGACTCCTGAAAGCACTCAACCTTTCTTTATTCCCTTCATCTATACAAAAGTTCTTCGACAATCTAGTGAAAACTGTTATTGAGCAAAGAAATGGTAAACCATCAGGTCGAAATGATTTCATGGACCTTATTTTGGCACTCCGTGAAATTGGAGAGGTCACAAATGCAAAACATGACTCTGCGAAGCCTGTGGAAATAACACCCGAGGTGATGGCAGCACAAGCTTTTGTATTTTATGCCGGTGGCTACGAAACCAGTGCTACTACGATGACGTTCATGCTTTACCAACTAGCAATGAATCCAGACATTCAAAATAAGTTAACGGCAGAAATTGACGAGGTTTTACAAGCAAATAATGGACAAGTAACATACGAGTCTATTAAGGAAATGAAGTACCTAAACAAAGTATTTGATGAAACTCTACGAATGTACTCAATCGTGGAACCTCTTCAGAGGAAAGTGGCAAGGGACTACGAAGTACCCGGTACTAACCTGACTTTGGAAAAGAACACCATTGTGCTGATATCGCCAAGAGGCATACACTACGATGAGAAATATTATGACAACCCTGAACAGTTCAACCCTGACAGATTTGACCCGGAGGAGGTGGGCAAGCGCCATCCGTGTGCTTACTTGCCATTTGGACTTGGACAGAGAAACTGCATCGGTAAGTAATACAATATTTCAATCCGTGTGTAATATATATTGAACCGTTACATAATAATTCTATTTGTTGATACAGTGACGTTTATTTGAAACTTCATCTTAAAAAATACTATGAGATGTGCCTTACTAATGCATAAACGAATCTTTAGGCAAACTGTTCCATAATGGGCAAATGCATCTTTCCATATGAACATTAATTACCACATAAAAAGGGTTAACATACAAACTAAGTTATCAAAAATTATGAATATTATAAAAGGTTGATAAATCTTGGGTTCCTCATTACGGTTTGTCAGTGGTATCTAAAAGATAGTACCTACATAATGTAACTTTAAAAGCAGGTTTCAACCTGCCGTTATACTCAAAAAGTAGATAATATACGCACTACATGCAATATATATATTATATATATATAATAATATTCTAAGTCTCGGATCCTTCCCATTTTGAAAAGAGTTTTTATGTCCACATTATATGACTTTCTCCTATGTTGTGGATAATAATGAAAATAGACACTAATTTAATTGTACATAGCACTAATTTTACTTTTATTTATTTTCAGGATTAAGGTTTGGCAGACTCCAGTCTCAATTATGCATAGTCAAGTTTCTGTCCAAGTTCCAAGTGGAGCCATCAAAGAATACTGCAAGGAAGTTGGAATTTGAGCCCTGCCGTACTATTATCGGACCTAAAGGAGGGATTCGTTTAAATATTGTTCCTAGAAAGTTGAAGGCTTGAAGACTTTCAAATTGTTGACATTGTCATAAATTAGCCATTGTCATACAGCAGGCCAACAGATAAATTTAGACCAGTTTTTCAATTTTTTTACTAAATTTTGGACTACATACATATAATTTTGGACTACTATATATATATATATATACCACAGTTGAAATCTAATAAAGACATTTGACAGAACGGAGTAGGCAAACCTGCTGGCCACTGGTACATAGAATATCGCACACGATTTGATCTAAAAGAATTAGTTTATATCATATATGTTATTTATTTAAATGTTAAAGACTTATAAGGGCCTATCGACAACCATCGGTCACAATTCCAGTCATTTGTTAAATGTATAATAGTCATTGCTCATTCGCAAATCATTCATTATGTTATAAATAAACTATTCTTAATTTAATAATGTAAAATATAAGTTGGTTTTTTGTTACATAAATATATTTGTTATACAAAATTATTGTACATATTATTTTACTTCACCTTATTAACATCTTGAGTGTCGATATAGGAGACACAATAGAATATAGATTCTGTCTCGCGTAGATCTACGTTCCGGCATACCACGGGTTAATATAATACGAATAATACATAGAGATATATATATATAGTACCTACCTACAACATATACCTGAAAAAAACACTTGTCAAAAAGTGACCTGTAGACACGACTGTAGGCGAACTGTAAAAAGTTGCATAAATTCATTTTAAATTAACATTTTTAGACGGTTTTTTTTAAGGGGGGAATATCATCTAATGACTTCTCGAACGGAGTGTCAGACTCTTACTGACTAAAAACCACCCCGTTCCAACTCCTGCACTCCGAGCCGGAGCCCCGGTAACCCGTTAGGTTCTCCGCGACTCCGAATCGGCATCAGCCCTATTGGGCCCCATCCGTGGTAGTCTGATGGCTCTTTGAGGCGTGCGCGGAACGGGACGCGCCGTACGCTCGGGTCTGGTTCTGGTCGGGCAGCGAGTCACCCATGCTCGCCGTCCGCAGGCCCGCGCTTACGGTGGCCGGAGATAGGTTTTTGAGACCGATAGAAGGTTTTATACTGAATTATAAGGTAGAAAAACTATTAACTTTTTGTACGCTGAATTGATATCAATATAATACAAATAACTACTGAACACAAAAAACAAACAGAACATAAACATAATATAATTATTATATATGAATGGGATTTCAACCCGGAAATATTCTGTTTCAATATTGATATAGGACAGGTAAATTGTTATAGATCAGATCATAACTAAAACATTTTTATGCATAATTACAATATACTTACAAATCTGTCTATCTCTTTAAACTGTCAAACACCAAGCGGTCACCGGTAACCGCGACCTATTGTTCTTTAATTGTGTCTATAAAACCGGTACTCGACGAGTTAATCAATAAACAAGTACGAAGTTGAACTGTTGACAAAAAACGTATTTGAAGAGATCAACTAATCAGGAAGACGCTAGAGGTCATGTAAGGTCATCGCTTTGTTTCTCCCTACCTTTATGTCAGACATCGGTACTACATATTATGCCATACAACAATACATAATAGCTATGTATATTGTATAAAGATAACTATACTCGATAGGAAAATCTTTGTCTAATAAGTATATCACTACATAGTAAAACAAATCTGCTGTTTGTCTGTCCCTATGTAAGCTTAGATCGTTAAAACTACGCAACGAATTTTGCTGCGATTTTTTTATAGATACAGTGATTCTTAAGGAAGGTTATAAGTATAATACATGTATGCATATTGCACCCGTGCGACGCCAGGGCGGGTCACTAGTGGTTATATAAATTATATATTTTCGGAGTACTATATATTCCATATTTTCTCAGTTTTTTATCTTTCCCGAAATGTTTTACATTGAAACTAATGAACTCTTCTTTATTATATCTGTGAATGAACTACACTTGACGTATATACTTTATCTAGTACATAGAAGATTCCTACACAAACACTAAGTCTTGACAAACGCTTTGTAGGTAAGTAAAATGTTCTGTAATCACGAACATTATACCCAAATTGGCACATGTAACGTATCTAAAGACGGGTAGGTGCGAGAGAAAGTAATAAACATCGAGTTCTCGGTGTCTGTAATTCAATGAGTGGTGGTAGATACGTCTGGGTAGGGCGGGCGAGTTGAACAAACCCAGTGCCGCATTGATCGATACCAACGACCGGTTCAGGCGAAACGCCCCGAACATTGCAGCACTTTATAAAAGAAACACTATCTCTTTTTATGTATAAATAGTTAAATACCACTTATGTAGATTATCGTATCAAAATATCAAGCATTTTTTAAAAATAACTAAAATCTAACTGTTAATTATTATGAACATTTGAATAATGCTAACGAAAGTAGGTACCGCCAACTCTATCGCTTCTCAATAAATGAATTTATTTGATTTAAATGTGTCAGGTTAAAAATGGAATCGAAATCGAATGTTTATATAGATTTTTTTTTAATTTTTTAAATGGTTAATAATAATAATAATAAGCCCGCAGGGCACCTTGAGGCGAGGTGACGGGCATTAGCGATCCCGCGGGCTACCATCATCCCGAGTGCTCCAGGGAGAAGTCACCGTTCCTCCTTCTCCGGCTTGCCTTAATTGGCTGGCTGGAGTGAAAGATGACAAGGAACAGGTCTCCCACCTCTGGCTTGCCTTCATTGGCCGTCCAGAGTGGAGTCGCGAGAGCAGTGAACCTGCTCGGAGGGTAAGAAACTATTCGTAAGTCGCGAGTGGGCCAGGGATGCAGGAGGCTTCGGCTGGAGCAGATGATCTGAGTAGAAAGCGGTGGTAGTTTCTTAACCCCTCAGCCACTCACATTCTCGTTGCCCTTCTGTTGCTATATCTAGCAACCATTCCCGGGGCCCGGTCGGTGAGTTGGCGAGTCTCCGCCTGCCATTTTTACGTGTAAAAATTACATTGTTTCGGCAGGTGTCATAGTCATCCATAGTTCCCAATTTACCAGTCCACAACAACCCATCCATAGCCCTACCTTTTTTTTCCATTATTCACAATAGTCCTACACTAACCGGGGACTGTCCTTGGGTGCATTTCCATAGTGCATACAGGGATAGTCGCCGGTTTGTGTGTCCATTACATTTATATTATAGTTGTCTAAAGGGCCTCTGCGCAGTTGGCTTCGGCCCCTCGTACGCCTCCCAAATGACCGGGACCCTGTGGTCCCGTGAATGGTAAAGACATACATAATAATAATAATAATATAATAATTTTTTATTCGCATAAAACATGTGTATAACACACACACACACACACGTAGGTGCATATATGTTAGATGACAATATTTTTGTAGTTGGGCTTTATACATGTTTGCCACTTCGTCAAGGCATGCAAATTTTCACAAGTTTGGGTAAGAAAATAATATTATGTACTGCTTCAGATTAAATAACATTTCAAATAATTACAAAAATATTGAACATAATCTAGTAATATTTCAGTATGTCAGTTATAATACTAAGGTCAAGAAAGTCATAATAACATGTCAAAATTAAAACGCAAATCAAAAAGTCATTATACCAGTCGACAGAAAAAACAAAAACAACAATGGTCAAAAAAAAATTAAATTAAATAATTAAAAATTATATATAAATGTACAATATTCATTTCATAAATAATACATGGAGAATTCATTCAATTAGGTCATTTATCTTTTAAGAAATCGGCTAGGGAATAGTAACATTTATCTACGAGCATTCTAGTGAGGCTTTTTTTAAATTTGTACAGCGGTAGCTCTCTAATGTTAAGAGGTATTTTATTAAAAACAGTTGGTGCCATACAGATGACCCCCTTTTTCATCAATGCTGTATTATATGCTCCCGTGTACAACAAACTTCTATATTGGGATCGCAACGTGTTATTTCTTTTCCTAGTGTCATTGAAGGTTGAAAAAAGATGCTTATTTGTTTTTTGTTAGAAAGTATTTGGTCTTTTTGCCTATTCTTAATTTAAAATTTAAACAGGCCTTATCTATTCCATAAACAAAAATTGCTCAGCGTAGTTATAAAATGTCAAATTGTAGGAAAAACAAATGTAAGTTTTGACTTGTATACATGAACAAAAAAATAACAAATGTTTGGTTCCAAATTCGTTTAGGTTAGTTACATTGGCTAAAAACCAGTATGTGAATGAACCACCGAACTATATCTAAATTTACACAAAACCTATGAAAAATGATTCAGTATCAAATTATAACATCTATAAATCGATAAATATACGTTCTTAGAATAGACGTTCTGAAGATAGAAAATAGAACAATATTTTATAGGACATGACAGTATACAAGACAATGTGTAAAATAAAGATTTCCCATGAAAGTGAATACACTGTCATAACATGAATCATTTTGGATGACATGGCAGGATTTGAGTCACAGTTTTCTTGGAAAACATCCCCAACATTAGCATTTAAGTGTGTAGGGGTACATACGTAGGAAGGTACATAATAAACAATTCAAAGCTATTTGTATCCATTGTTAAAGTTCGTCAACACTAAGGTAAATAGCAGTTTAGACATGGTTACTGTGTACAATTCAAAATATCTTCTATTTCAATATCGGATTTAAGAGACACCTCTAGTGTCTCATAAGTGATCAACATAGTTAAAGACTAGACGCCATTGTCAATAAATATGTAGTTATGTTAATAATGTTAAGAATTTTCATTATCAAACAAAAATAACAAACCTGTTTTTTAAGTTTTCTTTTCTAATCTGAACTCTGGGTAAATTTTATTTTAAATATTACATTAGAGATACAGAAATTTACTTCTTCTAAAACACAGAACCAAGGCAGGTATTAAATATATTAACTGACGTCTGATGTTCATATTTGCACGTATAACCTGTTTTAAAAACAAAACTAGACTTTAAAACTACACAACCAGACATACTGTCCGAAAAAACATTTTCCAAAATATGTATAACTAGGAACAATAAAATTAGTCCAAAACTATTATATATATATCGAA